GGAAGAGGGCTAGGGGAACCACTCTTCCATAGACGTTGTCCCAACCTCCACGACCTCCACCACGGCTCGTAGTGAGGACCAAGGCTCGTGGTGGTCTAGGCAGTAGCCTCATCAACACTGCCCAAAACATCCCCTTCACGAGCCACTTCACGACTCATGGTGATGACCACAGCTCATGGGAAGACTTGTGCAGAGGAGTTAGTTTTGAGGGGTTAAGGGGAAGGTGGCTTAGTGATGAGTCCACGATTTGGACTCATTTAGGGATTTATTTTAATAGATTTAGTGTCCTCAAATGTATATTTTGTGCCAATCACTGATGTAAATCCTTTAATTTCAGATATTTGGATTGAGGGACAAAGCATGGACACTATTGAGCAAAGAGGAACAAAGCAGCTGAAAGAACGAAGAAAAGAAGGCTTGAGGATCGCCTAACCCATTAGGCGAGTCGCTGAACGGCCATGGTCTTGCCAAATGTTCCAGAGTGCCAAGCCGAGAAGGAGAAAATCTAGTTGGCAAGAGAAAGAAGAAGTCGGCGAGTCACCGAACAATTACATGATGCAGTGTCATATCGCCCAAAGTTACAGAACCTGAAGATGCTGAAGGAAAAAGAAAAACAACAAGGAAAATGATCAAAGGGCATATCGCCGATTGGATTGGCGATCCTGACTAACTGCGTTGACTGGACCTTCGCAACACACTTGTTGACAACTATAAATTGTTTAAATTTTTAGCTTAGTATCTTATCTTTTGTTGAATCATATTATTATTCAGTTTATGAAGTTTAGAGCTTAGAACTAAATAGAGAGACAATATTTCTTTAGCTTTGAAGATTTGAAGATTTCCATTTCTAAGAAATTGGAAGTGGGTGTTGAAGATTCTTCATCTTAGACCTTGGTAAAGACTATATCAATCCTACCCAGTTGATGGAAACACAACTTGGTAATGATTTTTACCTTTTTACTATGTCTAGCTAAAACCCCAATTCTTGGGGTGTGATTATGTGATTATGGGTTGATTTAACTGTTGGGTACTGTTCATTGATAGTTTATTTGTTGTTTAAAAAGTGATTTTGTTCATTAATTATGATTGAATTTAATGGGTTGTAGTTGCAAATACAATCTTAACTTCATGTTTTTGGCTTACTCGAGAGAGAGGTTTTAAAACTAAAATTACTGAATTGGTGGTCTGTGGGTATTGGATGTCATGGGTTCAGCTCGAGAGAGTGAATCCTAAACCATTTTCCATACATTTAGCTCGAGAGAGTGAAGGGACTAAAGCGAAGGTTGTGCTTCATTTCTGCTTATTGGTATTCGAGAGAAACCAATTTAATTCGGGGTAAATTGTTCGAGAGAAAGTTTACCCCTACTAAAGTCTAGCTTATTCACTGATTTACAGTTGTTTACTATTAATTGCAATTACCAGGTTGTTTGCCTTAACCCATAATCCAATCACATTCCAAGAATTTCGTCTCTATATTCGTATTTTCATGTTATTTTCTATTTTAGTTGATAATTGAATACAAACCCCCCTTTGATATTTGACACTTGTGTCACCCCAAACTTGAATTATATTTTTCTTCGTAAATGTTTTTAGCTATGATTGACTTGAGCATATTTATGCTTTTCTATTTATTCTTGCGTACGAACCACTCCCTTGGGACTCGACCCCAACTCACTAGTTGGGTTATATTACTATTGAACGATCGATGATGCTTACTACTGGATAAAGTGTCTTTGATAGCGTTAATCAAAATGGCGCCGCTGCCATGGAGTGGTATTAGTTGAGAATTTTTAGTTAAGTTGAATTTTGTTCTTGTTAGTTATAGTTGTACTTACTTAAGTTTTAGTCTTGATTTTTGTGTTGCTATTTTTGAGCAGAGACTTTGAACATAGTTGGTAGCAATGGTAGCCAACTGACTGAGACTAATCAATAAATGGAAGGGGACAACTCTTTGGTCCCACTATTAACCCAACTGGACGATTTGGCCAAGAAAATACTAGAGGTTCAAGTCCAGTTCAAAAGAAAAGATAGATACATATCCCCTCATGAGCGGAGAAAGTCTAAGGACAATGAGAGTAGACATGTCGAGGATACGTTGTTACTCATTCTCCAAAATGTCAATGAGCAAGATAGAATGCTAGAAGAGATGAAGAAGAATGTAGAAGTGCTAAATCAGATGATTGGGTCTCACTCCAGATCTATCCAGCTAATTGAAACCCTCATGGGTCATGTATTGCCTCATCTCTACCCAACTAAACAAGAGGGGTTACCTAGGGACACTAAGGTCAACCCCAAAAATAGAGTTTGAATGAGGAGTTGCGTCGTGCCACGACGTTAACTAAGGCGCTTCTTGGAAGGCAACCCAAGTGTTATCGCTTTGTTTTTGTTTTAGAAATAATGGTGTGATGAATGTTCAGGTCAAAGTGTGGAGAGTGGTTGAAAAGTACAAGTTGGCGAACTAAAGATCCAGTCGGTGTATCATCGACCAGGTCAATGATCGTGATCTAGTCCACCGTTTGGACCCCCAGATTAATGGGAGGTCCTGTAAAACTCGGTAAGGTAAGTGAACACTCGGCGTGTCGCCTAGTGGTTCGGCGAGCATGACTAATGTCGTCGAATGGGGGAAAACTGGACGGTTTTTAAAAGGCCAAAGGTTTAAACTTTCAAACTCTTCACTTTTAATCCTCCCAAACTCACACCTATTTAGTATTTTCAATATTTTTGCATTCTATAAGTATTTTAGTTGTTGATTTGTGCTCGGGATTGGGCTTACATTGCCGCCTAGCATTTCAATATCAGTTTAATCAGCATAAAAGGTTGGCTTTCCAAAACCCGAGTTTATTTTTATCAAAATTGTACTCATTTGCAATATTATTATCTTGTTGAAGTGTGTTGGGCCTCTCTAATAGGATTAGTATGTCTGCTTGCCTGATTTGATTCGATAATCCTACCTGTATGCCTTAAATGTTAGATTCTCGTAATTTTATGCTCTATAATGAATGAAATCTTGTGGGGTTGTACTTCCATGTTATTTAGTTTAGTTGGGTGAAGTCTGAGTAGCCCGTATTTGTGCCAAACGACGTAATTTGTTCGATGATAGAGCGGGTGACGTCATTCTTAAGGGAAAAGGTCGTCAATGGGATAAATTTGACAAAATCAGGAGAAATCTGAGTATCCCGGGGTAATGGGTGTTATGGGTCTAGTCTTAATGTGAGTTGTGCATGCTTTGATTTTGTTTTCAGGGGTTGCAGTATTAATTCAAAAAGTTGGGTTGAAAGAAGGAATGTTGGGTAGTTTGGCGAGCTGGGTCGAGCTCGCCGAACCACTCGATGGTTTGCCGAAGTTCCCCATCTCGCCTTTAATTTCATGCTATATTTGAAGTTTGACTCTGTAACTTTCGGCGAGAAGCCTGAGGTCTTCGAAGGCATTTGATGACTCACCGAAAGACTTCTTGATCGCTTTTTGTTTGTACCCCTGAACCCTCTTTGCACTGTAACTTTCGGCGGGCTAGCCCTTGCTCACCGAAAGCTGTCGGTGATTCACCGAAAGGCCTTTCCCATTACCGACTTGCCAATAATTTAGAGCCAATCCTTTCGGTGAGCCCGATCTAGCTTGCCGAAGTGATTCGGTGAGTCTTTCTGCAACTGTTTTTCTGTAAATTTGATTGAGTTATTTTTAAATTTATCTTGATGATTTGCAGATATAGTGAGGACAAACATAGACATGCCACCCCGAAAAAGAGTACGGGGTATCACTATAAATGAAGGGGGATCAAATCCTCCAAAGGAGGGCAGACAAGAGTCTCCACCAGGTGACAAAGGCAAGGGCAAGAGCCCATGTCTGACAGGGCTACTATTGGCGCGCTGGTTGCTCTATCTAAGCCTGAGGACAACCAGCCTTTACAATCCCGACGGTCTAAGCTCCGAGCCAGATTTCGCCCTGACTCAGCAAGAGTCCCTCTAGTTCCCACATCAACAGACTCAGTGCCAGCTCCAGCACCTCCCGTGGCTCCTGTGCCACCAGTCATCCCTCCGCCTAGGATTCTCAACAGATTAAAAGGCGATGGTTTGCGAACCACCCTTGAGGAGAAGCTGTTATCCACAGAGGGACTGAAGGGCAAATACTCAGATGTGAGGGACACTCTCCACTACCATAGGTTTGATCAATTTACTAGGCCCCGAGACCCCTACATTCCTTCATGGATCCGGGAGTTCTATACAGCCTACGGTGACTTGGTCCCGAAGAGAAACAAGAAGGCGAGCGAGTTCAGACTGGTGAAGTTTGTCATGTTTACGGTAAAAGTAAGTTGGGTTTAATAGTGAGTACATAAACATTATATTGGGTAGAGCTCTGCATTCTATGCACCCTTATGATGGATTGCTTGTTGCTCAATCCTTAGATGATTTGAAGGGCTGGCTGGCACCTCTGATTTCCGATACCACCCCGAGGTGGATCGAGGCAGGAGCCCCTATTGAGAAGAGGGACTTGAGTGTTGCTGCCCAGTTCTGGTTTGGCTTTATCAGCAGCACCATTATGCCATCCTAGAACGAGTCTGTCCTCCGTCATCCTAAGGCAGCATTCCTGGGGTCTATTATATCCAAGAGGCGCATTGAACTAGGTCTTATCATTGAGCAGGGGATGGTCATGAGGGTCAAGCAGAGGCAGACTTCCTTGTCATTCCTGATCCTGATCACTGAGTTATGCCGATGTGCTGGAGTGCCCCGGGACGACATAAGAGACATTAAGGTGACACCTTTCTCCTCCACTGACATTCGCCGTATTGAGGCCGAGTACACTCAAGAGGAGGTTGATAGGAGGAGAGCGCTCCGACAGATACTTCTCCGGAGGTTGATGTCGATTTCATACCTGTTGAGGCCTATGTGCCTACTCTGGCCTCTGGGCCTTCAAGTACTTCTGCCCCTCCTTCCTCTTCTTCACAGGCTCCATGTACCTCTACTTCCTCTCAGCAGACCAAGATTACTCAAGTGATGATCCTGAAGATGGGGCATTTGGCCCATTCAGCTGATGTGAGGGCGACCCGATTAGAGAGATATGTCCCCTTGATGATTGAGGCTACTATCTTAGCTGCACTGACTCCCCTTCGGGCTTCTGTTGATGATCTAGCTACTAGAGTCACTACTTGTGAGAGCAGGCAGAGGGAGACCTCTGAGGTTACGTCTTTGAGAGCCGAGGTAGCTGACTTAAGGAAGGACGTAGACTGTCAGAAGTCTACTGACTTCACTTCATTGTTGGAGGCAGCAGATAAAATGGATGCCCCTGAGACTTCAGAGATTCCTCTGGGTACCACCAGAGACATACAGAGGGATGAGGTAGCAGTTGATGAGTCGGATGCTGAGACCGATGAGGAGCAGATAAAGATACGAGAGGAGAGCATATATGGAGACTTGTCGGATATTGAGGAGACGATTATGTAGTCAGTGATCCAGACAACGCTGAACGAGACGTCCATGGCAGCTCCTAGTGGGTATGCTACTGTTGTTCCTTCTGAGGTGACTCCGGGTACTAATGCCCGAGATCTGAGTGATGCACCGGGCACTGATGCCCAGACAGATGGAGCGACTGCGTAGACAGGATCCCCTCTTTACCTCCCTCTCTGTCTTTCTTTATTTTGACTTATGGATATTTTATTTTGTTTGCATTTAAGGACAAATGACTTTATTTGTGGTGGGGTGAGGCCCACCTTTTGTGTGACCTTTTGTGAATATTGGTTTTGTTTATATATTTGGGTTTTGAGCTGAAATTGTGTTGTACACTACTTTTTGTGGAAGGTTTTAGCTTGTGGCTCTGTGTTTTTAATTGTAAATGATTTTTGACCCTTCTGAAAATTTTGCCACCTCTTATTTGTGTTGAATGTGGATGTTCTTTTGCAAATTTAAGTATCGGTTTTGATCAATACCGATGACTTGAATAGTGCTCATAATCGAACAAAAATAAATGTGCAGCTACAATGAGGCCAAATGAAGTTGCATAGTCAATATGTGAACTCTTTGCATCTCGTTGTGATTAGCCAAGTATCGAATTGAGTCTTTTGGGATGAACATTGCACACTAGCGAAAGTGTGGAGTCTTGTTTGACATTGGTGTCAATGCCTTGTGTGTTGAGCATACCGTGAACCATGTATGATGACACCTAGAATTTGCCCTATTGGTCCGGTTAACTAAGTGAGGCAATCTCTTGCTATGATCTTAGGCAAATTTAAAGAGTGTGAGCCAATTTGACATTATACCTCTTTTTGTGGCCTACCTTGTGAGTGTGTGAACCCTTTTTGAACACCCTTTGAGCCTTAACCTTTTCTTGAAAGAAACTTGATGACATTGTGACCTTTCTTGCTCCATTACCCATAATCCTCATGATTTGTGGTTTGTTTGAATAGCCAACTTAGGCCAAAATACTAAGTTGGGGGTGTGGTAAAAAGAAAAGGTAAATCAAGAAGTGAAATAAAGTCCCCTTTGACCCATGGTTTTGAGAAAAATGGAACCCCTCCATACAAAAAAAGAGAGAAAGAGAAGAAAAGAATGAAGCAGAAAAAGAATGAAAAAGTTGTGTAATAAAGTTGTGAAAATATAAAGAAAATGGGGTTTCCAACTGTCCATGGAAAGTGAATAATGGGATGACTTGTGAGCACGAATGAAAATGATGAAGAAAAGGAAATGAAGTGTTGAGAGAACCACATTTCATGAGGATGAAAGTCATTGAGTCTAAATGACCATACTTTTGCATTCAACCCCATTACAAGCCTTGAAAGGACCTTTTTGATCTTGAGTGAGCTGGAGCAAGTGTTGATTGGAAAATACGGGCAAACCTATGGGTGAAATCATACATTGTGTGAGCATTGCATTTGATTCCAGAACATTAAATTGTGAATCATTGTGTGTAAATATGGAATCATTCTTTGTGTGGGGGCATTTGATTACCTTTGTTGAGCTTGAACTTGCATCTGAAGAAAGTAATGTGAGGTTGAGATTCTTTGATAATGGTGAGTCACAAATTTAGTCTTTGAGAGCACAATTGATCCTTGCATGAGTAAGTTGAGTCTTATTGTGTGCATTTATGATTGAGTCTTGTGTAGCACTGTTTGAGACAACCTTTTTGAACTGCTGAACTTGAGTTTTACTTGAGGACAAGCAAAAGTTTAAGTTGGGGGTGTTGATGAGTCCGCGATTTGGACTCATTTAGGGATTTATTTTAATAGATGTAGTGTATTCAAATGCATATTTTGTGCCAATAACTGATGTAAATCCTTGAATTTCAGGTATTTGGATTGAGGGACAAAGCATGGACATTATTGAGCAAAAAGGAACAAGGCAGCTGAAAGAACGAAGAAAAGAAGGCTTGAGGTTCGCCTAACCCATTAGGCGAGTCGTTGAACGGCCATGGTCTCGCCAAATGTTCCAGAGTGCCAATCCTTGAAGAAGAAAATCTAGTCGGCGAGAGAAAGGAGCAGTCGGCAAGTCGCCGAACGGTTCCGCGATGCAGTGCCATATCGCCCAAAGTTACAAAACCTGAAGATGCTGAAGACAAAAGCAAAATGGCAATGAAAATGATCAAAGGGAGGATCGCCAATTGGATCGGCGATCCCGACTAACTGCGCCGACTGGACCTTTGCAGTACACTTGTCGACAACTATAAATACTTGTTTAAATTTTTAGCTTAGTATCTTATCTTTTCTTGAATCATATTATTATTTAGTTTTTGAAGTTTAGAGCTTAGAACTGAATAGAGAGACAATACTTCCTTAGCTTTGAAGATTTCCATTTCTAAGAAATTGGAAGTGGGTGTTGAAGATTCTTCATCATAGACCTTGGTAAAGACTATATCAATCCTACCCAGTTGATGGAAACACAACTTGGTAATGATTTTTACCTTTTTACTATGTCTAGCTAAAACCCCAATTCTTGGGGTGTGATTATGTGATTATGGGTTGATTTAACTGCTGGGTATTGTTAATTGATAGTTTATTTGTTGTTTAAAAGTGATTTTGTTCAGTAATTGTGGTTGAATTTAATGGGTTGTAGTTGCAAATAAAATCTTAACTTCACGTTTTTGGCTTGTTCGAGAGAGAGGTTTTAAAACTAAAATTACTGAATCGATGGTATGTGGGTATTGGGTTGTCATGGGTTCAGCTCGAGAGAGTTAATCCTAAACCCTTTTCCACACATTCAGCTCGAGAGAGTGAATAGACTAAAGCGAAGGTTGTGCTTCATTGCTGCTTATTGGTGTTTGAGAGAAACCAATATGATTTGGGGTAAATTGTTCGAGAGAAATATTACCCCCACTAAAGTCTAGTTTATTCATTGATTTGCAGTTGTTTACTATTAATTGCAATTACCCGGTTTTTTACCTTAGCCTATAATCCAATCACATCCCAAGAATCCCGTCTCCATATTCGTATTTTTGTGTTATTTGTTGTTTTAGTTGATAATTGAATACAACTTGAATTATGTTTTTCTTCGTAAATGTTTTTAGCTATGATTACTTGAGCATATTTATGCTTTTCTATTGATTCTTGAGTAGGAACCACTCCCTTGGGACTCGACCCCAACTCACTAGTTGGGTTATATTACTATTGAACGATCGATGATACTTAGTACTGGATGAAGTGTCTTTGATAGCATTTATAACTTAGCCTTTTTTTGTGACCACGAGAGGGACCACAACTCGTGGTAGGCACCACGGCTCATGGAGCCCTCCGTGAAAAGGAGGCAGTACACTGCCAAGGGAGGGGTAAAATGGGGTTTTCCAGTTTTAATTAATATAAAGCCTTGTCGTTTTGCCTAAGCCTAGGACCCTTATATGAACTATTTTAACTCTAAAACTAATGCATTTAAGTCATTATTCCCAAAACCTAAAACAAATCCCCAAAGTTCTTCCTTTCAAAATATTTCTCTCTCCAGAACCTTGAAGAAGAAAAAGAAGAAGAAGGAGGAGGAGATTCAACCTACGATTTCAAACTAAGATTCCAATTTCTCCATTGAATACTAGCATTTGGATTTCCAGTATGGTAGCTTTCATCCATGGATACCTTCCATCCATGGAGTTCCATCAAAATCTCCAATTTCAAAAAGATAGAAATCCCCCATTTGGTAGGATTTGATTCAAATGTCATGTGCTCCTTTCAAACTTGATTTAAATGAGTTATATTAAGCATGAATTGATGATTTCTTATGGTTTTTATGAAGTTCCCCCATAACCCCTGTAATTCCCATATTTCTCAATTATGATCTTTTGATGTGGGTCTTTGTTGATGAAAGAGGAATTTTATGAATTTATGCATGAGGTGATAGAATCACATGAATTATAATGAAATCCATGTCTAATGCTTGAATTCTAGATGTGGTGATTTAAAGTAGGCTTTGAACCTTGAAAGGGTAAAGTATGAGATTATGGATGTTTCTATGAAATCTATGTAAATGCTTTAAGGACACTTTGAGAGTAAATGTCAATGATCATGATATTGTTGTTGTGTTGATTGAAAGGACATTCTCATAAGCACATAATTAACATGATGTGAAAGGTTTTCTCACACATGATCTAAAGAGCTATCATAATGAACTATCTTGGATTGGTTTTCCAAGGGACATCCTTCCATGAAACATGAGTTAAGTCAAAACTTAATAACTACTCTGTGGGATTTATGCTTAGCACCGAGTGGATATTGTAGTGATATGGAAGCCCTCACGTCAGTAGAGGTCGGGTTTCTAAAAGCAATCTCTTGAGATGGAAGCCCCCACGTAAGTTGAGGTTGGGTTTCTAGTAGCAATCTCCTTATCCCATAAACTATGTGCCCCCATAGGTTATTTAGCTAGTAGATCTACCTAATTTAAAATGCATGGTTCTACCTTTGGCAAGTAGGACAACCCTTTTCGGTGTGGGTAACACCGTGGGATTATGTTATAGCTCACATGGTCTTTGTCTGTTAAGGCTAATTCCCATAACATGATTAATATGAACTAAGGCTACTTTGAGAAGTATGGTATATGAGTTCAAAGGTTTTCAAGATGATGTTATCTTATGTTGACTATGATGATATGACTTATTTTTCCAACTATCTCTCATATGATGCTTTTACTTGGCAAATTGCATGTTATGAAATGAAATGTCCCTTTTAGCATGTTTGAAATGTGTTTATGCATAATTATCATACTTGGTGCATTTTTGTACTAACGCATACTCTTGCCTACATTTTTCTCAAATGTAGGGTCCGACCGTCAAGGTCATCAGTTTCGTGGCTAAGTGTTGATCTAGAGATTTCGAGATTTGGTGAGTCCTCATGCTTCGAGGATGGAGTTTTATTATTGTAGTTTCTTTTCATTGTATTTCCCTTTTTAACATGATGTATGGGATAGGCCCAATTTCATTCGATTGTAATAGATGGCTATGATGAGACAAGTGTCTAGACTTCTGCGCTCTTTTA